ATGCAAGTGCCGCAGCAGATCTGTAGTTGGCCTTCCTTCCATGTAGACGTATATCGGTAAGCACATACAACTAGCTTTGCATGGCTCTAGTAATTGGCATGCAGCGTCGATCTCAGTAGACGGACTTGAATCTTGGACCGCACAGCAGCGATCTAAGCTTCGCCTCGATTCACGTGCAACAACAGCTAGCAGAATAATTTGTCGCTGCCTTCGGTACAGGTACAGCACCGCGTTTGATTATCTGATCCAATCCGGTGGCTCCGTTGGAACTTGTCGTCGAGAGAGATGCCACAGTGCTCCAGCGATGCCTTCAGGAAGGAAATTGACGTCCTCAGACGCCAATCAACGCTGGAAGAAGCACACGAGTAGGACTTTCGACCCCGGCCTGGCCCCGACGGACCGAAACTTCGACGAGGCATCCAAGGAGGTAGATGGTACATGCTGCGCCACCGCCACCGGCCCGGAGGAAATGGGCAAGGTTTTCACCTAGTTTCTGCGAGTCTGTAGACGCAGGCCACTCGTGGTACCCGTAGTGACAGCACCGATGGCAAAGCGCCAAAGCCGCCAGCACACCACCGCAGCACTTGCCGGCTGCCCACCAGCTGCCGGCAACTCGACCGTCAGAGGAGGGCATATCCGTCCCCGGCCACCACCGTCGTGGCCCTGGACACCACCAGAGAGGGGAGGCCAGCCGCCATCGCCGTGGCCCAGCAGTGGAGCACCGGCCCCAGCCACGGCAGGTCAGCCACCAGGCAACCACAGGCCGGCTAGCGCCAGGCCGGCCACACCACGCACGCCCCGCGCGGAGGAGAGGCAACGCCGCGCAAAGAATGAGCGGACCCGCCCCAAAAGCAGCAGGGAGGCGCAGATCCAGCCAGGAACCATGACAAACACTAGATCCGCAACAGAGCTTGAGAGATCCAGCCATGGAGGTTCCAAACCCGCCTCGAGAAGAGGAGGTGTGGTGGGGGGTGCAGAGCGGAGAGGGACGGGGCTGCAGTGGGAGGCCGTTTTTGGGCGCCACTGCTGGCCGCCGCCGCTGCGCGCCGAAGAATGGCGGCGGCGATGGCCGGAGGGGAGGCCGGTGGGGTGAGGGTCCAGCGGTGCCGGCAAGCCCCGAGTTGGGGGCGCTCGCGCTGGGTGGGGGTTGATTTTGGGTCCACTCCCAAGCTCATGCGCACGCCCACCCTTGTTCCTGCGCTCGGCTACCTCTGTCATAGCCGTACCTGCAGATGCTGTTGGAGACAATGCGCCCGGAGACGCTGTGGCCGTGTATGAATCTCAATTTTTTCGCCGGTCACGGCGTGGACTCCGCAGCTACGGCTACCTAGAGGGAGCCTAAGCTAGGTTGATGGCCAGTTGGCTACCTGCAGTCCTATTTGACTACATTTGATATTCAACTCATTCCACGTGTGTTTTAGTGGGAAAATTAGTTTTTTTTAGTCTCAGGCCACCTTAACAAATATGCAATAAAGTAGATAAGAGCAGCCGAACAAAATCTGCTTGTTATTTATGCGATAATTCCAATGTGGGTTCCCTACCATCATGTACTGAATTTTCTAGCCGCAGTGGATGGAGTCATGGAGCCGCTGGCGAAGCCACCCGGCAATCGCATACGACCGTGCTGGTCGACAGAGTGCCAAGATCTTTTTTCTGTATGAACGAGAAATACTATATTTTTCTACACATACATTTCTGCATAAACAAGAATTACTCATGCTCCTAAAACTTTCTCGCTTTGTCACTGCATATGGAGCCGCGTGCATCGCCGTAAGTGGTGTATTGCTCTCATCGCCATCACTCTTTGTATTGTATTGCTCTGGACGCACTGACAGGCCGCCACTAGATATTGTATTGCTCATGGCATAGACTGTGACACAACACATTGCTTTAATGAGTCAAAAAAGTTTCTCGATGAATTTGGAGCTAGGAACCCAACCAAAACGATGTATCCAAAGAATGCCTTGGTTGGACTCTGTATGAGGTTATCATCACCGATTATTTAGCTCATGGTTGTCTGTTGACTCCAAACCGAACTTTGATTTCAAGTAAAAAAACTATTTTGAGCTCAACACGACTTGACTTATCCTTAGATCTTCCATATTCCTAAGCATCAAAATATCACAAGAAATCAAGATCATTCTATCCTTATGATTCAACTCACGAAATAAGCAATGTGCACCAAGCCGAGTACCCGATCCTTGTACACGGAGGCGAAGTATCACTTGCTTGTTTTGTATCTACGGCAGTCGTGTCTTATCGACTAACTATTAGCAAATAATGGATCAATGCTGACCTCAACTGTAATAGAACACTGTCAGTTAGGCGCATGATTAGGGGCGCAAGCATCGGCGTCCGAATCTGTTCAGCCACAATGCGAATCACCCTGCTCTGCCAGATTCATCCATCCAGGCTGAAAATCTGATTGGGTTGGCCACTCAACCACCCTGAGCTGCAGACGCCTTTTCTTTGTTCTCTCATTTTCCTGTAAATGTGTTATGATTGTAATAGTTTTCATTCTAGGAGGAGTACAGATAGTGTCCTGTTGTGTTTGTTGCCGTCCTTCCATGGACAAATTAGGAATCTCTCGCTAGCTATGGATGTGTATGTGTTGCTGTCAGCATGATTAGTAGAGATGGTACTAATCGGTGGTTAACTCATGTGTTTAACAATGCAACAGACGTGCGAATGTGTTTTCATGGATACCTCAATGGACCCGCAGAATATAAAGCTGGAGGAGATTGCAATCTGGAACAAACAGTCCGACAGCTTCTGCTTCAGGCTGCATGCGTACTGAACCAACCACCTGCAGCCAGTTTGGAATCGTGGTGGCAAATTGGGCTACTCCATTTTTACCTCAAAAGGAAGAAGAAAAAAATTGGCCCCTTCCCGTATGATTAGCTACTTGCCGACTTCCCTTTGATGGTCGGCTTGTTACCGTGGTAATGTCCTATCGAACTTCATCAGTTGTCATTCCTATTTGTTGTTTTATCTATCTTTTCAATTGAATTTGGTTCCAGCTTGGTTTTTTCCTTGTCTTTTCTTTTCCAAAACTAATAGTACGAACCTTAAGAGCATCTCCAGGAGACTCTTCATATCCTTCCTAAATGCTAGAAAAAGAGATTTTTGTGAAAAATTATCCTTCAACAGCTTTTCTAAATGGTCATCTAAATATAGCCATCTTTTATTCCGGATTCTTCGCTAGTCAAAAATAGAAGACGAGAATGGCTCTATAGAGTGTGCATGAGATATACAAAAACTATTGAAGAGTGAAAAAAATATAGAAAGCGATTTTTATGTAAATAGCTGTCCAAATGATGATTTAGAGAGTGAGATTTAGAAAAACTCTGGGCGATGCTCTAGTTGACATCACTATGCTGTGAAAACCAAAGTGTAAACGTATAAGGCTACAATGTTGGATAAATTGACCTTGCAAAAAGCAAATATATTGAGATGCCAAATGTCCATTATTGAACACCGGTATTGTTGATTAAGCCCGGATGTTGAACTGGTTATGTTCTTGCGTTTTGCAGGCCAGGAAAAATATCACAAGTTGTCAAGATCATATATTTTTGCCACCGTGCCTTGGAAGGCCTCATATACCTTTTAAAAAAGTTTGAATTATTGATAGTACTTATTTGTATGGGAGAAAAATAAGGCAATCTATTAACTGGACCAAAAACAGATTTGAATCTGGCATGACACATTCTGAGACATTTTTTTTAGCTGCGCGTTAGTCCTCCTAGCAAGACCGGTATTATCTTCTTTTTAACATCTATTGGGTTTAAAAGTGAAATGCACCGTAGATTCTTAAACTTTTTTTTTTCATATTATCGTCTAGACCCATGAGCTCTTGAAGTGACCATATGGGCCCTTCGGCTTTTCAAGTGGGTTAAGGTGCATTTAGAATGAACTCTTCGTCTGAAGCCCACAATTTGGATTCCTTTGAAGTGTGAATTCATCAGCTACATGAACAGATCTAGATTGGACTTATGATGAACCACTTAAAAAGCTGAAGAACATAAACGTTCACTTTAAGAGTTCATGGATCCAGATGAGAATATATAAAGAAATTAAGATATCCACAATACATTTCACTTTTTCTTTGATCGATGAATCAAAATTGTGGGCTTCAATTATCCTTGACAATTTGAACTTCCGTATAAAATTTAAGCGAAATGCATGTCCCAGTCGCCCAGACGATGCCATAATCATTTGTTTTGTTTGAAATATATCCATGGAGTATTGCTCAACTAAGTATCAATCCAAACAAATTCTCTGAATCACCTAACATTTCGGCCATGTTTAAAGCAAATTAAGACAATGCACTCTAGTCAAAGGAGGACATATTTCTTGCATTATTTGATAGAATTAAAAAAATGCAGTGGTCAAGGTAAATTTTTTTAGTGTTTTGCAGAAATCATTGCAGTTTTAAACAAGGCGGTTGGTTGACGATGCCACGCGTGACAGTAGTTGGCTTCTGAAACCTTCAAATACAGTGAGAGATCAACCAACATGGGTTAGCTTTCAGTTTCCCAATAAATTAAGCACACGAACTCCAGACGGCCAGAAGATATATACATATTCAAATTCAAATTCGGCTAAACAACACGAGAGAAAAGACTCATTCCATCGGCTCGTCCTCAACAAACTTACTTCCCGCCCACTCATGTCCGACTCCAGCACATGCCCACACGTCGCGCGGGCTCCTCCACATGGCGATTGGCGACCACCACCTACTACGTACCTCTCGCCGTCTCCCCCCACCATGGCATCCCCACACCAAGATTAGCCGGCTAATCCAGCTATAAGAAGCCACCCATCCCCCCTCCCCTCATTCCCCAGGCAGGCAAGCTAGCTACAAGCAAGGGCGCGGCGCAACAAATAATAGCAAGTGCGATCATCCTTTGATCCATCTTGCTAATAAGCCTGCCGCCCTTCGATCTTCCTCTTCCTCATCTCCGACGTTCCGTTCCGCAACACACATCGACCAAGTCGCGATGGAGATGAAGAAGGTCGCCTGCGCCGTCCTTGTCGCCGCCGCCTCGGCCACCGTGGCCCTCGCCGCCGAGGCACCGGCACCCGCCCCCACCAGCGCCTCCTCGGCCGCCTTCCCGGCCGTCGGCGCCGTTCTTGGCGCCTCCGTGCTCTCCTTCTTCGCCTACTACCTGCAGTAAAATTCAAGGAGGATTGGAGGAAGAGGCCAGGAGCCTGCTGCTGGCTGCCATTGCCTGCATTCGGTTGGATTCTGTTTATATATATGCTATATATGTGTGTAAGTACCTTACTTTGGGTCTGAACATGTCGATTGATCCATTCATTCTTTTGCTTTGCCTTTTCTCCCCTTTCTGTTAATCTCGATCTGTAAAGAGGGGAGAATGGGAGACACTATTTGTTTGGACATGACAATTGGAAATTAATCAATACCCATTTGTTAGTAGTTATGCTGTTATCATTTCAGATTTCTGGCTATTGATTTTTTTTCCATTTATTTATCTGCTCTGGTTTTCAAAATCAAGGGTTATTTACAAAGGCTGAGGCTTAATGACTAGTTTAAACTGGATTTCTTTTTCTGGTAACCAAATGGCACAAATCAAGAACAAAACTATTCTTCGCTGATTATGGTTGCGGGTTGCTCTAATCAAGAAATTGTTGAGACTACTGCAAAACTGACACATCCAAAATTATTTCCAGAATTGTAACCTTTTGCGGAGAAAGGTTAACCATTAGTTAATAAATCCAAGAAGGTAATAAGGTACTCTTCACTCATCATATGGTTGTTCAAATTAAGAAAGTATCTGTTTGTAGCAGCTGCCCATCTGCAGACTGCAGTTATTCCGAATGAAGTTATCTCATCTGTTATTCCCACAACCCAGACCTTCGTGTCAAAAAAAAGGCAAACATCTCACAATACAAAACCTTCTCTACATTGCAAGTGTTTTTCTATTTTATTTAATTTTTTATTACAGTATCACCCGAAGTTGAACGTGGTTTAATTCATTGTATGAAACTATGAATTGAACACACAACGTAACTATGCATGGCTCTTTAGAGATCGACACAATTGTAATGGTACAAAAATAAAGAAGGAACAGAGATGGGTATACGCATTATATGTTAAGCATTTCATTAACATCATCCGCACGTTCAGAGTATGGGCTGTTTAAATTCACGTTCAGTTTGTCGATTGTATGGACTGAAATCATTATATCCACAAAAGGAAAAAAGACAGAGTTGAAAGAATGACACAATTTGAATGCCAAAATCTACTAGTATTATAGAATGGCAGTGCACAAAAGGCACAAAATTAACACCACCGCCAGAATTACTGGCCTAAAGAAATCAGATCACTCCCAACTGCACGAAGGAGAGAGAGAGAGAGAGACGGAGGGAGAGGGAGACAGAGAATGAGTTTAAGTTCAAATGCTAAAATAAAATTTACAAGCTCAGAAGGGATAGTCAATACAGGAGATGAGCCTATCACCATGGATCAGCAGCCCTGCCTGCAGTGTACTAAGCCAGAACCTTGCCATTGCAAGGCCAAGAGCCTGACAGTCACTAACATAAGGGTTTCCCCATCCTCAGTTAAGAAGATAAAGGAACACCCAGTTTGTATGGTAGGAAAACATTATAGGCTCAATCAAAAGCTCATTTGGGATAGCGCCATACAAGAGTTCAGGAATAATAGGTGACCACCGTTTTCATCCTTGTAATCGGCGGTCGACGACTAGGGTATGCTGATGGGCATGAGAAAAGGGAAGAGCTCCCAAACTTCATCTCTAGAGAAGATGGAAAGTGACTACTGAGTAATGAGTACTGACTGACTTGTGCGCATCCTCATCTCACTGCCGGTGGCTATTTATAGCCAAAAGTGTCATTAGTACCAATGGTAATGCCATTTGTCTGCTTAGAGTAAACCTGGTTTAATTATCACTCGACGCTTGTTAACATATTCCTGTCAAGAATGATGGTACAGCCGAGGTAAATCTTTGCCATTCAATTGAATGGCGACAAAAGTTCATCACTCATCAGTGGCCTAATGCATCCAAGACTACAGATAGGAGGAATCTCATTGCATTTGCTGTGGATCATATAGGCAGTGTCGGAGCTATGGAACGTGCCTCAACCTATATGCCCATGCCAGATGCAAATGCTTCACCCAAAACACTGTCACTTGTCTATCAACAGAGACAGGGTAGTCCTTGTTAGATAATCTAATACTACCTTGTGTGAACACAGCAAGGGAAGGCAGCGCCGAAAGGCCCCCCTGCTGTGATACTGTAGCCGCTGCAGGTGCAGGCGCCACACGGCTCACCTGCAGCACTGTAGGCATATGTAGTGGCCGACGCAGAGTCAGCCCTATATGTTATCTAGTTACTGTTACAGCATATGCGTTGTCCTAGGACTAGATGAATAGAGTTGTATAAATAGACTACCACGACAACTCAGTACAGAGAGTTCAGATTTGCCTTCTCCCATACAGGGCTTCGGCCAACGCTGGTGTCTTATACTGTGTGTATGCTCTGTTCTCCCTTCTTCTTCAAGCTCTAGCCATAGTGTGTGGGGACGGACAACGCTTGTTCGTGGTTGGCACGGCTAGTGGGTGCTCGGCAACACTAGCGGGTGCTCGGCAAGGCCGGTGAGTGGTTCACTCACCTGAGCCGGTGATCCTGTGGGCCAACAATGGTATCAGAGCCGTACAAGCGCCGTTGCTAGACTAACCACTGACGATGACAGGCGGTTCGGAGATGGGTGACAGCAGTGGCATTGTTGTAGCTGCCCAGCCATCGGAGGTCGTTGTTCGCACGGTGCGGGAGGTCAGCGGCACCAGTTGGCCGACGCTCACTCACACCAATTATGGAGAGTGGTTGGTGACCATGAAAGTCAAGCTCAGAGCCCGACGGCTCTGGAATGCTGTTGACAAGGGCACCGACAATGAAAAACATGACATGTCAGCGTTGGAGGCTATCCTCGCTGCTGTATCGGGGGAGTACATGGAGCCGTTGGGGGCGAAGAGCTCTGCTAAGGAGGCGTGGGAGGCTATTGCGGCGATGCGCGTTGGTTCCGACCGCGCAAAGAAGGCGACGGCCCAGCTTCTGAAGCAGGAGTACGCTAACCTCAAGTTCAAGAATGGTGAAACGGTGGAGGACTTCTCCCTCCGCCTACAGACGCTTATCAGCAAGCTGAAGATCCATGGCGTCACCATCGACGAAGAGGAGGCGGTCTCCAAGTACCTCCACTCCGTGCCGGCAAAGTACATCCAGATCGCTCTCTTCATAGAGACGATGTTGGACTTGTCTACCCTCACTATTGAGGATGTGACAGGCCGTCTGCGGGCGGTGGACGAGTGCCTGGAGCAGGCGACAGCAACGAAGGACAGCGGGAAACTCCTACTGATGGAAGAGGAGTGGGCTGTTCGGAGGAACTCCGAGAAGGCAGCCTCCTCTAGCCGCGGTGGCGATGGTAAGCGCCACGGCAAGGCTTCTTCGGAGAAGAAGCAGGACGACCCCAACGCTTGCGGCGTTGCGGGAAGATGGGCCATTGAGTACGGGAGTGCCCAAACAGCAAGCAGGAAAAGAAGGCTCAAGCTCATCTAGCGCAAGCCGATGATGAGGATGAGGCAACTATTCTGATGGCGACGTTCTGTGCACTGCATGACGTCGAGGCCGAGGAGAGGGAAGAGGCGATGACGATCGAAGGACCTGGGAAGGCCCTGAAGACCGTCAAACTCGATGAACCACGCACCCAAGTCCACCTCGGACATGTGGGCGTCCACCAGGAGCAGCGGTGGTATCTGGAATCTAGTGCCAGCAACCACATGACGGGCTCCAAGGCATCCTTCTCCGAGCTCGACGACGATGTTACCGGTACGGTAAAGTTTGGTGACGGCTCAAGGGTGGCTATCCAAGGGCGCGGCACCATCATCTTTAGGTGCTAGAACGGGGAGCACCGCGCGCTAACGGATGTATATTACATCCCGTAGCTGCATTCCAACATCATCAGCATTGGTCAGTTGGATGAGCGTGGTAGCGAGGTACTGATCAAGGACGGAGTCCTTGGGATCAAGGACCAGGAGCAGCGACTTCTTGCCAAGGTGAAGAGGTCCCTGAACCAGTTGTACCTGCTTGACCTGAAGGTAGAGCAGCCGGTGTGCCTAGCGGCAAGGCACTCTAAGGAACCGTGGATGTGGCATGCCCGGTTCGGACATCTCAGTTTCGACGATCTTGGTCGGCTGGAGAAGATGGTCTGAGGGCTACCCCACATTGCACTGAGGCGAGCTGTGTGACAGCTGCCTGGCCGAGAAGCAGAGGAGGCTCCATTCCCAAAGACGGCCAAGTATCGCGCGAAGGATGCTCTCGAGCTCGTCCACGGCGACCTCTGTGGGTCGATCACGCCTGCTACAAACGGTGGTCGGCGGTACTTCCTCCTGCTCGTGGATGATTGCAGTCGCTACATGTGGCTGCAACTCCTGATGAGCAAGGACGAGGCGACGACGATGATCAAGAAGTTCAAGATGCGCGCGGAGGCCGAGAGCATCAAGAAGCTCCACGTGCTGAGGACTGATTGTGGTGGCGAATTTACTTCGGTGGAGTTTGCTGCGTACTACGTGGATCAGGGTGTGGGGCAACACCACATCGCGCCGTACTCGCCACAATAGAATGGCGTGGTGGAGCGACGGAACCAGACGGTGGTCGGCATGGCCCGATCCATAATGAAGGCCAAAGGCATGCCGGCAAGGTTCTGGGGGGAGGCGGTGACCACGGCGGTGTTCATCCTCAACCACTCTCTGACCAAGGCCTTGACGGGCAAGACGCCGTTCGAAGCTTGGTATGGGCGCAAGCCAAGCGTGTCCTTTCTCCGGACATTCGGCTACATCAGCCACGTCAGGAAGACGAAGCCAAACCTCACCAAGCTGGAGGATAGGAGCACACCCATGGTGTTCCTAGGCTACGCGGAGGGTACCAAGGCGTACCAACTCTATGACCCACGCAGAGACAAGTTGCTTGTCTCGCGCGACGTCGTGTTCGACGAGAAGGTGGCTTGGGACTGGAGCAGTCCGAGCACGGGGGAAGCTGGCGGCTTCACCAGCACCTTCGTTGTCGAGCACTTGGTCATCCACGGTGGTGGAGACGCTGGGGAAGAGGTGCCGAGCACTCCGGCGGTAGAGCCGAGCACTCCTAGGGCAGTGCCGAGCACTCCTAGAGGGATGCCGAGCACTCCTAGAGGGATGCCGAGCACGCCAGGAGTGGTGCCGAGAGGTTCAGCAGTGGTGGCGACCACTCCAGGACGGGTGCCGAGCACTCCCGTGGCAGAGCTAAGATGTCTTGCAGTGGTGCCGACCACTCCAAGATTGAGGCTGGGCACTCCTACAGTGTGGCCGAACACTGCAGGAGTTATGACAAGCTGTCCAGAAGTAGTGCCGAGCACTGCAACCAAGGTGCCAAGCACTCTAGGTGTTGTGCCGAGCACTCCGGCGGAACAGGGAACTCCATCGACGCCGATTGAGTTCGCCTCACCTCCAAGTGACATCACTGAGTTCGTAGATGCCTTC